TAAGAGCCTGAATATTAATTCATTGTTTCAAGTCAGCGCTAGAGGGCACTGTCCTCCTGGCTGCTATGGAGCGAGCCACTCCTTCCCGTTGGAAAAGTCCTCTGAGTTTAAGTGTTAACCCAGCACTGCCAAGTCCACCACCAAACCATGTCCATAAGTGTCTCATCGACATGGCTTTTAAGTACCTCCAGGTGTGATAATTCCACCACTTCCCTGGACAGCCTGTGCCAGTGCTTGACAACCCTTTCAGTAAAGACATTTTTGCTGATGTCCAATCTAAACCACCCCTGGTGCAACTTGAGGCCATTTTCTGTTGTTCTATTGCTTATTACCTGGAGAAGAGACCAACAGCCAATAGAGTATAAAGGAGAAGTATCTTGGTATTGAGTTTTTTTGTAATAAAACTCTGCAACAGAATTTAAAAACAAATCTTCCCTGTTATGTCAGTGGCTGTCTATTCTCTGTTGCTTTGTGTATACATTCAAAAGAAGTGGCTGCTCAGCTCTGTTGGGTTTATGATGTGGATCTCTCCTGGTGTAATCACACTTAGTTTTGCGCAGGACTACTGTGCAGCCACTGATGGCTCCAAAAGCTTTGAACTGACAGTGAAGAGACTGAAGGCTCTGCATTTCGTTGCCTGACCTGAGGGCCAGACTTAGTGGGGCAGCTCTCTTCAAAATACACTTTAAGAAATTTGCATGGGATTGACTTCCATGTCATCAGTGCAGCATAACTGAGGTTCATAGAATAGCTCAGGCACCAGCTGGGTGGAGTTTGACTTTGGGGGTGCAGGCCTGGGAACCCTGGTAATGTGTCCTAGGGAGAAGTAGTGTCTGTCTTAGATCAGAGGGGTTTATCAGAGGGTGAATGTTATTTCACTGGAGGTTTTTTCCCCAGATGAGTGACTGTGGCTGTTTGTTTTTTAAATGCTGTGGTTTCTTTAGGCAAGCACAGACGATGGCTTTGTGTACTGTCTGGATGCTCGTGCTGAAAAGCCCCTGTTTACTCTGAAAGCTCACGATGAAGAGGTGTCAGGTAAATTGCCTGTGTGTCCTTTTGTGTCCTGTTCATCCCTTGTGGGCAAGGCTGTCCAGAAGATGCCTTTAATCCATAGCACTGAGGTGGCAGTGATTCCTTATTTAACAAGTTGTGCTAATGTGCTACCGTGCTAATCATGGCAGCTGGCATTTGAAACAAATCTGCTGAGGGGATTGGGAGGCAAAATAGGCCTGCATGTTTCCCTTGGCTCTCGCAGCATGGAACTTTCATTAATGTTCTGCTCCTTTGTTCTGGAATGGAGTTTAGTGTGAGAAGAATATTGGGGCTGTTCTCATGTCTTCACTTCAAAATGTATTCTCATCTCTGTGAAATGGGGATTGCCTGTTGCTCTCACACTGCTGCACTTTCATCTTCCAGGGCTACAACTAAGCAGTCAGATCAAAGGGTGCCTTGTGACATCATCTGCTGACAAATACGTGAAAATTTGGGATATCCTGGGAGACAGACCAAGTTTAGTCCATTCCAGGGATATGAAAATGGTATGGTAATATTTATTTCTTGATTCTAATAAGTTTTATATATAAACTGTCTGCTTTTTCTGTCTAGTTTGAATCTTGTTTTACCTAAGTTCTCACAGGGAAAAAAATAGTAACATATTCTGGGCAAATCATTCTCATCACAGTGCAGTATTCCACATGGAATTGGCAGACTGCTTCAAAGCCTCAGACCCAAATTCCAGATACAATGTTCTGAGTAGAACTATGGGTGCTCCAGCTTGCATCTTCTACATTCAAGGCACAGATGTGATTAACTGTTTATAATTAGCAGCTCTTGGCTTTCATTGTATGTCTTTACAAAAGAAGTTTAAGAAACTTAATTACATTTGTTAAAACTTGCTTGGTGAAAGTATTTTCAGATGACAAGTTCATTTTAAGATTAAAATAAAATTCTCTTCTTTTTCTCTCACCCTGCCAGGGAGTTCTGTTCTGTGCAGCTTGCTGCCCTGACTTCCCGTTTGTCTTTGCCTTTGGAGGAGAGCGGGATGGGCTGCGTGTCTGGGATATAAGCAAGATCTCTGCAGGTAATGTTCTCATTTCTTTGACTCTTGTGGTTCTCCCCTTGCTTGCAGGGTGTATTTGTATTCAGTAATGCATTGTGACTCTGACAGAAGATGGTAGGTTAGTATTTTTAAATACTCCAAGACTGCATGTGTGGTCACATTTTCAGCTTCAAAAAATGTGGGTTTTTCTCCTAAACTGGAGAACAGCTTTACACTATTTATTTTCTTGCAGCTGAAGTGTAATACATTATTTCTTATAATACCTATGTTTTGTTTTTTTCCTGATGTGATTTTGTATCACATTTTTGAGTATGGGAAGAAAAGCGAGGACTGGTTTTGATCAGTTGTAACTACCTGTAACTAAACAGCATGATTTTTTGGAGAAGGCTTTTAAGAGCCTTTTGGGAACCAGAAACTAAAACCAGAAATAAATTATTTAAACTTAATGATGTGCTCTTCAAACCTCATCAGTTTTACAGTACTTAGGTACAGGAATTATGCAGAGGAAATCTCTAGATGCTCTGGAGGAAAAATAACAGGACCTGTAATTGAAATATCGTATGCAGGCAATTGTTCTGACTTTTAGCTTCAACTCCGTACTTGGGGTGAGAGGAAGAGCTTTGAAACCACAGCAGGTTAGGATTTCCATTCCATGGTGCTCACCAGGCTGTCCCTGCTGTACTCCTGTTTCCTCTGGGACAGTAACATGTAACAATTCCCCGTTTGTATTGCAGTGAATGAAGTTTTTGGAAACAGAGAGAGGCTCATCCTGGCTAGTGCCAACTCTGTGGCTTCCAGCTCCACGGCCAGCAGTAGCAGCAATGACTTGGAGACAGCAATGGAATCATGATGGACCAAACATCAAAAAATCAAATTAATTAATGGGACTACGACAAATGTGTGTTCTGCCAATGCCCCTGTTTGGTGAGAGCTCAGGGAAATTACTCTGGTATCTTGCAATCTGCAGGCTTCTTCATCTTGGACAAAGAAAGGTGGTGGTGTGGTTAAGCTCTAAGCTCCTGCCTCTGCTACCAGCTCTGAAAGATTGAATCACTCACTTAATAATCCCTAAAACGGGGTCTACCATATGTAAAGCTGATACATAAAATGGAACAGTCACTAGAAAAGTATTCTGTGACTACAGAAGTTTGTTGAATACTGCAAAGACAGTTTTATCTTTTACCTTTTAAGGACATAAGGAAAAATATTTCACACAACAGTTGTGTAATAAATAAACAAAAGGTGAACTGAATTAAATAAATTACAAGTGTAAACAGATAATTTATCCTTAATTTGAGGCTAAGTTTACAGATTTTAAAAGATATTCCATGTGACTTTTTAAATGTTAAGAGTAGTTCGCAGGCAATAAGTTGGAGTCTCCAAGCAGAATTCTAGAATGTATTTCTAACACTGATATCACCAATATTAAACCAGAAATAACCAGCTCTATCCCACCAAGACTGGAGCTTTCTTTTTGCAGGTTCCATAGCAGCTGTAATTTACTGATGTTGCACATAGTACTGGGTTTTTCTTCACACTGCAGATGTGTTTCCAGAGAATTTGAACTGAAATAAGGAGCTGCTACTCTAGGAGGATGAGAGGCTGTCAGGACACAAAGTGAGGGTTGGGATCCCAGCTGGTTACTGTTACTGGTGAAAAGCTCTCTGTGTTATGTTCTTAACTCTGCCCAGGCATTGCTGCCTGACATCTGAAGGCACGGAGGAGAGTTTTAATTACCAGTTTAACCACCAACTTAAGCCCCTTATTTGCAGAATCAGGAACCTAATCAAGGGATGTGTCTCAAAGAATTTCCTTGCCTTTATAATGTAACACCTACCTCCTTTACCTCAGGAACTTCATGGAGTTCTTACCCTCCATTGAGCACCTGCCCTCTGCCCACACTGAAGGTGCCTGTAGAGTGTTCTTGCTGCAGAAATGCCCTGGGTATTCAATCCACTGATGCCAAAGGAGCTGTAGGATCATACTCAATAGCTGCCAAGCTCTTCCTGCTGCTTTCCATCCTAACTCACTGTAGTTCAGTCTGGTGACATAAAGCAGGTAAATTGTGGCCCTACAAACTGCAGATGGGGAAAAGGCAGGTCTGTAACTCTCCTTGCTATCTGTTGAGGGTAATCGGCTGCTTCTAAAGCTACTTCAGCTGTTTCTAGTCTGGTAAAGGTGTTCAGCAAGGCTCTGTAAGAACCAAGAATACTGTGGATGTGTTGGGATTCCTGCTTCCTGTCTCTGCCAAGCAGTACTGAATGATGTGTGGACAACAAATGAACAATTGCTTTTGTGAAGCTTAAGAAGGTAAGTACTAGAACCACCTCTGTTCAACTGCTCTCCATTGAAAAGTTCCAAGTTTTTCAAAGCTTCAATTTCAAATAAATGTTCTGCGTTAAGATCTTTGAGGGTTATTTCTCTTACCTCTGCCCCTAGTAATAAAATTGGCACTGTAGCTCTCAAAATTGCTTTTTGTTTTTAGAGGAAATTGCATTACTGGAAGCAACACATCTTTCCCTGGACTTACCATGATCGTAGCACCTGTCTCTGGAGCTTTTTGGTCACATACTGATCTGAGGCAAGCGTTTTCAGGTTTTAAGAACCCTGGGAGCTCTCTAGGAGAGGTACAGCTAAGCTCAGGCCATTTAGGGCCAGAAGCAGAGCCTCTTTCCCAAGAGAACCACCCATTACTTGTCAGAGAACAGAGCACAGCTCAATCTTCTTTTGCAGCACAGCCAGAGGAGTGACACAGCAAATCTAGAGTTCTTTAGCTGCCCCAGTTCATGGAGGTGTTCCTACTCCTACCATGTCCCAGGAAAGTTTGGGAGAGGCAGATGATTAAAAAGCAGTATTATTTCTCTTAGCATCATTATCAGAAATAGAAAATCTTTTTCAGCATATGTAAATATTAAAAAAAAAAGAACATTAGTGAAGAGCCACATTTTTAATTATTTCAAAAGAAAACAACCAAATGTAATAATTTTCATTCCATAAATAGTAATAGCAGCAAACCCTCCCATCATTCTAGGTGGTAAAAGGTTTACAGCACAAAGAGTAACATATACTGTAAACACTGCCTGATCATCTGTAACCCCCTTCCTTACTGAGTCCATACAGTCTTTATCTCTTCACCTGCTTCCATGGGCTGTGAACTTGAGGGAGAAAAGGGGATAACTGTTCTCCAAAAATCAATGCTTGATTTTCTGTAGTGGGGTAATTATTTTGTATGCAAGTACTGATTTCACTGGCCTTTGTTGTTTTTTTAAACAAAAGGTTTTGTTTTAAGAAGGAAACCTGAGCATTGAGAAGTCTTTGCTTTGTGCCAAACCACATCCTTCAGTTAAAGTTTTAAAATACATCAACGGCCACCACCATTTTTTCCTTGTTTCTCTTCATGTCACAGCTTGGGCAGTTAAGGACAGTTAGCTTACAGGTCACTGCAATCCCTCAGCTACATTTCTGGTTTGTGGCTCTTTGCTCGAAGGGCTGTGTGAGGTGTGTCACGTGTCCTGGCACTGGATGGATTAATCTGAGTGATTTGGAGAAGTATGCACAGCGTGTGGGAAAGAAATCTTGCCTCACATTTCCTTCTTAGCAACTCTTCACTTGTACGTGCATGATCCAGTCTTGTTCAGTGTTCTGGCTACAGCTTATAGTAAGTGGTGGTAGTGTGGAGACTAAAACAGAAGGAAAACTCCTCACCTGACATACACTGGTGACTGGGGAAACAAGGAAGAGGGTTTTTCCTTCCCTAATTATAATATCCAAGAAAGTTTTCCTCTCTTCTTCATTTGTGTCCAGAGAGAACATCACTTGTTGAATAGACTCCATTGTTAATCCTACAGTCTTCAGTCCTCATAGAGTCTATTAATTCCTCCTCTGAATCCTCCTCTTCTTCCTCCTCTGGGGCTGATAGACTGGATGTGGGGCCTTTACATATTTTTAAATGTCGAGTGAGGTGATATTTGGTTAGATAAGCCTTGGAGCATTTTTCACAGACATAGTCCCTCTTTCCTTCATGTGAATTGAGATGCTTCTTCAGGTGATTTGTCCTCAGAAACAGCTTGTCACACTTGGGGCACTTGATCTGCCGTTCTCTGCAAGACACAAAAAAGTGAGTTTGCTCCTGCCACAAGACAGCTGGTATTAAAATGCTGATTAAGGTCCATGTTCTAGCAAGGACAGATACTGCCCTTGATAAAAAAGTCAATTTCCCTCCCAACCTGCTTAAAGGGGGGTGGGGAGGAGGCAGGGAAGAACAAGTCAGGAAACAAAGCTGCTGCATGTTAACAACCCTCAGTCTGTAAATGCTAAGCAGAGGCGCTTACCAGACTGCAACAGATTCTGTAATGACACTGCAAAATACCTCCCAGCAGGAGTGCTCCTGGCTCAGGCTGTAGGAATGAGCAGCAAAGCAAGTCTGTGTTTCTGTCTGCCTTTCTCTCATGCTGGCTGCACTACACTGGCTCCTAGGCAGCATGACAGAAGCAGCAATGGATTCCAAGTGAGAACAAAAACCAGATGCTGAAAATGAAATAAGCAAAGGGACTAGCTTTGGGCAAGCAGCTTTTAAGGAGGACCTTGGATTGGGAGTAAATGTACAGGATGGAGAGATTCTCAGAGCAAAAGACCTGGCCTGGCAGGGCTGTGGGTAGGAATCTGCCTATAGGAGGAGCAGGAGAGTAAGTGCTTGAGTGAGACCTACAGGGAGGAAAGGGCTGGGAATGGCTGCACCACACCCCTACAGCAAACAGGCAGAGTTCACCAACAAGGTACTCAGTGACAGCAGCACTGAGAAGTTTGTCTTTTGTGGTCACGTTGGGACGTGGAAACAGTTCACAGCAAAGAATGAAATGTAAATCAAACAACACCCTTTCTCTTCAAAATCATGAACACTCTGGACTGCCATTTCACAACACAAGGAGCACGCTTGCAATTTAGTGTGTCACTGAAATATTGCAACCACTACAACTCCACAACTGCAGCCAGTAAAACAAGGACTTAGTCTAGAGTGACTTGTCATTTCAGAGGATGAACCCACCTATGCTCCCTAGGCCAAGCTATTTGCAAACTGGAGATTCTGTCTCGGGCTGTTCATCTTCATTATTTCTTGCACTGACCAGTCCCACAGCTCCTGTGAGGTCACTTACTGTGTGTGAGTGAGGACGTGCTGCTTGAGGTCCTGCCTCCGCATGAAGAGCTTCTCACAGTAATCGCACTTGAGGTTCTTCTCCCCCGTGTGGATGACCATGTGCGACTCCAGGTGAGCCTTCTGCGTGAATGATTTGTCACAGAGGGTGCAGCGGTAATTCTTCTGACCTAGGAGTACACAGGGACACCCACGGATTAGCACTCCAAGAAATAACAGTAAGTAACTGCATGTTTGCAGTAAGCAAACAAGCCTGACCATTGAAAAATTAAATTTTACCATAAAGAAAGGCAGATTCTTTGTGAACAGGACTTGTTTTCTCCTGCAGTTCCTTCAGACTCAGCATAAAGGCCTACTTAGTTCCAATCTATATTTAGCTATGCAAAAAAACCAGGCAGCTGACCTCATCATTCCCAAAGCCTTTCAAGCAAAAAAACTGATGTCATGATACCGTTTCAAACCAGTGATGCCCTAGTGTGATGCACCTTTCTGCACTTTGTCCTTCTAAACACAGCTGCTTGTTGTTTCTCTGGTGTCCATGGTCAGCCAGCCTTTCTTGTGAGGCAGGGTTTGTGCTCCTTGTCCACACCAGCTGTGCCTCCCTGCTCTGGACATCAAAACACCTCCAGCAGCTCTGTACATTTTTCCACCAAGAGATTCAGGCAAACACTTAAAAAGACTAGTCTATCCAAGATGAGTTCTTCAGTAAAAACAATGGTAGCTTCCTTTGCAACAGTAACCATAGTAAAAATCTAGTTACTGTACATTAGTACATCTCTATCCTCACGGATTTCCCACAGGAATTGTATCTGGAGCCCAACCCCATTTGATGCACTGCATTGCCTTTGTCTGCAAAAAGAGGTTCTCTTATCTAAAAGACACACAGGTACAAACCTCACTGGCCTTTTGATAACTTCTATGTTTTATCCCATTTTTCAACTTACCAGTACTTCTGTTATTCTTTGCCAGAAATAGTTCAAAACCCCAGCATACTACTGCGTTCAAACTAAATTTGAATACTATTTGAATCTCACTCCACTGAGACTTCTGTGGTTGTGTATACCACACTAGTATTTGATCAGTCCATTAAAACTCCTGACTACTGAGCCTACAGCTTCCTATGCTTGACTTGAGAGCACTCAACTCTCAGTTTTATTCCTTTTCCAGCTTTGTAATTTGAATTTTGTGATTTCCCAATAAGGAATACTGAAAAAAAAGAGAGGCAAGAATACCCACACTATCTACTGCTGGCCTGTAACTTGACCTTCACCCTCTCCCCTGTCTTCTGTATAAAGCCCTCAGCACTCACCTGTGTGGATCTTGAGGTGTGTCCGTAAGTTGCTCGGATCGCTGAAAGCTTTGCTACAGAAATCGCACTTGTGCGGCTTCATGCCCATGTGCCCCATGAAGTGCACGTGCAGCTTGGAAGGGGAGATGAAAGCCTGGGGACACATGGAGCACTTCCACTTCCTTTCCTTGCCGTGGCCTGGCCCGTGGTTGCTGCTGTGGCCCTGACTGGGGAGGTGGTTGTGAATATGGCTGCTCAAATGGGCCTTGAAGTCCGCATAGGAAGCGCATTCCTTCCCGCAGTGGCAGATGTGCACATCTGGATGCTCAGGGACACCTTTGGGCACAAAAGCATCACTTGTGATGAGGCGCACACAGTAAGGCCTAACAGAGCTTGAACAAGGACCACATTAACATTTAGTCTGTGGTAGCAAAGCCAGGTGCAGAGATTTTCATCCTTGTTCTCTTCAGCTCCAGTGTTGCTTTCCAGCTGTTTCAGGTAGGTAATTTGAAATGTTTTGGGGGGCCAGACTTTGGAACAGTTTTGAGCACAGCTCCACCAAATCAAAATTATCACACTCCAAGCTGGGGGAGGATTGGAACGTCTTCAGCTCCAAAACGCCCTTAGCCTTAGATGAACAGAACTAAAACGATTTTTCTTCAAAACTGTCATCTTTTACTCCTGATCAGTGGAATTAAGTAGGGAAATGTTTCTTTTAAATGATGGCACTCTGTAGTCATGAAACATAAAAGGAAACTATGACATGCACCAATGGGAACTGAGAAGGAGCATAATGCACTCCCAAGTCACAGAGCCCAGAGAAGGCAATTCTCAAAAGGGAATTCAAGCTAGGCAGTCCCTGCAAAGCCAACAAAAATGAGCTCTCACTTACCAAGCTGTCGTGCATAGTCCCGACTGTAATAGAAGAGAAGCTCGTGCTCAGGAGGGATGTCCCGGGATGTGCAGAAGTAAATTTTTCCATCATGAGGATAAGCAACCAGGTTCTGCTCTTCCCGGTTCCTACAACAACAACAGTTAGGAATAAAAACTCTTCAGAAGTAATGACTTTTAGAGAGAGAGAGGGAGAAAAGAGGAAAAAAAGAAAAAAAAAAAAAGAAGAAAAAAGGAAAAAAGAAAAAGAAGGAAAAGAAAAGGGAAATGGAAAAAATAGAAGAGAAAAACAGAAAAGAAAAAGGGGAAAAGGAAAGATTCCTATAAAAAGGTAATAAGAACCTCAGTGCTTGTCAGAATATTATAAAAACTTTCATGTCTGTCACTTTTGTCCTTCTTTATTAAAGGAAAGTAAAACTAGACCTTGAGAGCCAATTTCCTCCACCAAATGATGCATTTCTCACACCACTTCTGAGAAAATTATTAATAGACATTTGAGTGGGCTGAGAGAAGTGAGTTTATGATCTCCTAAGAAACTACAAAAATCTGTATTTTCATACACCCAGATTTTCATATACACAGGTACATTTACATCGATATATCCCTTAAGAAACAGAGTGAATGACAGAAAAAGTATCAGTAATGTCTTAAAGCAAAATTATCTTTAAAAAGTCCTCTTGAGGACCATTTCCAAGATGTGGTCATTCATCTTTTGAAGCAGTATCTTGCATATGTTTGTTCCCAGTATCTGAAACCAGCAAAAGCTCTGCCCCACTGCAGTGGGAGATTAATGATTACGCTTCTTGACTCCTGCATATGAGAACAATGAAATGGACTGCAGCAGAAACCTACTTTGTGTAACAAAGAAATAAGAAAAGTTTAGCATTTTCAGTGGGCCATGGATGTAGCAATACTTAGGCCAGCCTGTTTCATCACAGACTCCAGAAAGACTGAAAAGGACAGGTCTCACAAGCTGCAGGGGCTTGGAACTTGGGCAAAAGAACTTAGGGACACTTGGTTAATAAAGTATTAAAATCAAAAGGACAATCAAGGTCAACTTCTGTTGAATGAAGGTCAACCTTCCTTCTCCAGTCCAGCTCCCTGTGAGCCCACAGCTCAGACTCAAAGCTACTTAGCACAGTACAGGTGGCTCTCACCTGGCTTTGCGTACGAACATCATCCAGTTACATTCATTTTCATCAGTTGTGATGATGCAGAACTCCAGGACGCCATTGTGATAGATCTACCAGGAAAAACAAATGCAACCTTAGGAAAAAACACAGCAATAAATGCAGTGAAAGCTAACCTCTTTCTTTAAGAGAGTATGTGTTCACCTAGAACAAGCCAGGAAGTCTCCATTGCCACTGCCAACATCACAGCCCTGTTTTCATTCCTTCCTTTCCTCTTCACACAGGCACCTTGACCTTTGCTACCCAGGAGGCCAGAAAATCGTTTTTCAGCATCTTTCTCACCTTTTCCTCCCAGCAGAAATGCCTTTGGCTGCTTTTCTTACAAACCAAGTCTTGTGAGTAACAAAATCCGGGCAAACACTACATGTTTTATTTATATAGGTCAGATTTCCTGTCTGGAGATGAAATTACGAGAAAAAGAAAGCTTTAAATTGGCTTTCCTAAAACAAATCATTCATCACCTGGGGGAACTTTCAATGAAGAGACACAAACCAAGCAAACAACTGCTGCCTAGTAATTAATATACAATCTCTGCTGCAACTCCACACAAATACTGAAACCACATATAGCCCTTTAAAAGAGAAGGCATGAAAGAAACTTTTTGTACTTCTGGACTGACTGACTACCAGCACACTGCAAAATATGCAGCTCTGCTGTGCTGATACTAAGAATTAAACAATTAAACTGCATTACTTTTGACTTTTGGCAAGGATGATAATGTTCAAGTTGCTGCCATGTGGTAGCTTTCACCAGATAAAGGCATGCTGGCAGGCTCTGTGAGCTGTGACACCACTGACCTTCCAGATGTGACTGGCTGCTTTGTCTGTCCAGTCGGCCACCTCCAGAGAATGGCTCTGCTGCCCGATCAAAGGTCCAAAACAAGTCCTCACAGGAATGGTTTCTCGTGTCCACACACCTATCATTAGAAGACCAAAATATGAATAAATCAATTATTTAAACAACTAACCATGCATAATAAAGAAGTGGGAGGCTTATGAGATAATGCTCCAGAGGTAATATCTATGCATAAGACCATCAAAGCTTCTACTTCACATATGGAACACACCTATGGCAGAGACAAGAACCACCACCACCACATGACACTAATGGGAGCCGCTTTGGTGTCATTGCAAATATTTATTTGGTCAAAAGCAAGTAATTTACTTTTCAGTAAGCTATAAAACTAACATCCTAGCCATTTGTACCAATTAAAGTTCTCATGGCACTTTCTGCAGAAGCAGAAAATACTAGTTCTGGTAACTACATTTTGCCTACCTAATCCCCAGGAATTTCCAGAATTGTTGCTGGGCACTGTTAAGCAGCTTCTGCATTTCTCCCCAGAGGCAGCTGTATTTCTGTCATGGGCAGAGGGATTCCTGCGTGTATATTATTTATTATTAAACATTTATATATATATATATATATAGGTCTACATGAGTACACTGAATAACTCTTAGGAATAAACTGGAAACTAGTGCAGCTTGTAGAGAACAGATGTCGTCTACTCTCAACAAGCAGCATCACTAAGCAAGCCAGTAATCACATTCTTCTCTAGCCTTCAGATCCTTAGGGTACTGCACTGTACTCTTCGATTTCCAGGTGGCAGTGACGTGAAATACAGTAACAAGGTCCACATCCAGTGACAAGGTCACAGTCTACATGCCAAATGTAAATGAAGGGGGGAAGAAAACAGAGGCACTTGTGATCAATACTCCAATGAGAGCACAAAGAAGGTAGCAAACCAAGCAGATGAACAAGCAGACAGAATTATCCTCTATTTCTTCTAATTGTCACCTTCCCCCAAACTGCAAGTGCTGCATTGTTTTCTTATCAAAGCTGGGCTGTTTAGCATGATAAAAAAACCCACCATACCTTGCTTGACCTTAAGAAGTGCCACACTCTGTGGCAGCAGCCCTACGGTACAGCTGAAGTCTAAGCAGTAACCAGGCCACAAGGAGCTCTTGGATAATATAAGTCAGGGTGATTACAGAAGAGGGAAACATCTCTCTCTTGCGGTGCTTCTTTCCCACATTAATCTCCCTACGGTTTTGGATTTCAGGCAGCGAGTGTATTTTAAAGTGCTGCAGGGACGTGCACAGTAACGTGATCCTTACCTGCTTCAGCTCCCATGATGGACTGCCGGAGGAGCAGCTGCTTCGGGAGGGACAGCCTGGCTCGGCTCTCGATTGGGCTATCGGGGACAAAGGTGACGGGCCCGTGGTCCGGGCAGTCTGACGGATACGCCTTGTCACACAGCGTGCACCCTGCAGAGCCAGGAGGGAACAGCAGGCATTAGAAACATACAACAGCTCCTAACTGCAATCAGCTCCCTTCCTATGTGCTTCAGCTCACCTCCTGCCAAAGGCTGCTTCTGTCACATTCAACTTGTCCACTTACCAGCTTTTACTCAGAAGAATGTGGACCATGTTGTTACAGTAAGATGGGCACTGACATACATGGCAGTTTTTATCCAATTCAGATCAAATGCAAGGACCTCCACCTACCTTCCTGATGGTAAATTGATGACCTAGACTCCAGACTATCCCTACAGGAGAATCTAGCAATGGGACAGAGCCCACTCTTCATCAAAGCTACTGCAAAAATGGATGATAGCCTCCCAAGTGGTGGTGGTAATGCTGGTGGATCGAAAAGCCAATTTCACTCTGATCACAAGTGAAATGAATTCTATTGACAGAAAAATCTAAGACAAACAAAACTAAACACCTTCTAACTGGTTACATTTTTGGAATTAACCAGGAACACCTCTTGCATGTAAAACCTCAAGTACACCCACACACATGGACCAATAAGGTCATCCTTCTAAAATTTTTCGAACATGAACCACAAATCCCGTTACCTCCATTTAAATTCAGACTGTGTAAATGACAGCAGCAAAAACCTGACCTCACTGCTTCTTTTGAAGGTCTCACTGCAGTAAAGTCATGCAGTGTGAGTATGCCACTGAATGCAACAAAAACAAAAGCCCAAGAAGAATCAGTAGCATTGCCTTCCCAATCTGTCATTCAGCAGAAAAACTGTTATAAAAGAAACTAGTGAAAGTCTTCAGTCTAATAAATCTGAGCAAAAGTACAGCAAAAAATGCTCTCTAAAAGCATTACAATTTCATCTAGAAAAACGATGTCATTTTAATTCTCTGCGGATGGAGCAACCCACACCTACTCAGCATCCATTCTCCTGATAAATAATTACTCTTCTGAAGAAGAAAGATGTTCAGGTAATTATTCAGGATCTCCACAAAGACATTCTTTGGCCTCTTGATGACCCAGCTCCAGTATAGAAGACCTATCACAGAAGTAGCCTTCAGCAGGCCTGAACAGCAGCTCCATCCTTACATGCTTATTTTCCAGATACTTCCTTGATATACCAGGGTACCAGAATTTGACCTCATATAAAATACAGTTTATGCAACTACACATTAACAGATAGGAAAGTACTCCAAAAATTATTAGGTAGAGCCTATGTAAGCATTATTTCATGTGCACAGGTGACATGTAAGAGTAAAGCAACAACAACAGCCAGACCTGAGAAATGAGAACCACTGTGTGGAACAGCTGCTTTTAAGCATTGCCTGGCACACACCCACTATGGGTCTGTGGACCAGCTCCAAGGAGAGACAGAGGAAGAAAAGTTCTAGGCATGGGGCATTTCCACTTGGAGAAGTTCAACCATTCATACATTCTTAAGACACTGGAAAACAAAAAATCTCACATTCTACAGCAAGTGAAATATACTTTCCATTACTGTCCTTGCCAAATCATTAAAAAAAGAAAATCGGTAACTACTTCTCTGATTTGGATACCCAGAACCGTAACAAAGATGACCAAAAAAAAACCGCTTCTTAAAAGTTTTGCAAACATGCATGACTGTAGCAAAGGCACACCACACTTTTTATTTCCTTCTTAGGAACAGTAAAAAATTTTCTGAAAAAGGCCCTGACTCCTGCTATCTCAGTGAGAAAAAAATCACTAAGGGGCTCTAAAACAACTCCTTGTCCTTAGCTGTCACCTGTCTGGACACAAATTCCTGTTTATTCAGGTGAAGTTTAAAAACATCAACAAAAAGTTAAAATTTAAACCTCCCCAAGTCAAGAATTTGTTTTGCAAATCACATGCAAGCACAAGGCATGCAGCAGCCATTTTAATGTCCTACCAAAGGAGAGCATCGTCTGGAAACAGCTTAGGACTGTGTTAAGTATAACAACAAAAAGCTATCACATCAAATCTCACTTTTAAGAGAGTAAGAGAAGTGATTTCACTACAATCATGTTGGACATCCGGAGTATTTGCATCATTATTTGTTCAACATGCAACAGATGCTTGTAGGAACCTCTGAATGCATCGACTGTAAAACCCTCTAAGAGTTGCAAATTCATCACAGTTTTATGCCCACCTGGTTTGAAGTTGTGTTTTATCCAACAGAATGAAATCTTAATAAATTAATCCAAATGTCTGATAGACTAGACACTTTCCACTAAACTGCACCTCTCCCCTTGCTAACCAAGGCACTGTATCTTTCTATTTCTTAAAATATGTTTCACAGGCAAAGCAAGCCATTAGGTTCTGGCAGCTGTAGGGCCAGACTGGATGAAGAGCAGCACTCAGCAATGCTTCCACAGATAATAAAAATGAATATAAAACCTGGCTTTATGTTTCAGTGGCAGGAAGCCAGACATCCTGCAGGTCAAAGTTCAAATATCTCTCCCAGCAAATGAGAACATCTCAGTTCTCAAACACCACTCCTTGAATGATAACAGGACTGGTGATACAATACCTAGCGCTCCTCTCTTCCCAAGAGATCCACTAACCTCTGGACTAAAGTCCATTGATGAGACTAATTAGAAATATTATAAAGTTCCTTCCCTCTCTGCTCTTTTCTCCTGTTTAGAACAACACTTTCATGATGATTGTTCATTGTTTAATATAAATTTTGCAAAATCACATAATGTGATACTTAACAATTACACCCATTTGATGAAAAGTATGGCTTGTGGTGGTGTTTGTTGTGTATTTTTAATGGAGCAAGAAAAGTCACTTGTGATGTGACTATAAAAACAGAAGTCTCATTGGAAAGGGTATCAAGCATATCCATCAAATCAAGAGCTTCATCAAGATTCCTCACAGCAACACGGGAAATGGATACAAAGAGAATTATGCTAGAACATCCTACTATGTCTTCTACTACTTCCAACTACTGTTGTTTCAGAACAGCTAATCTGGCACTGCAGGTGTTTCAACCTTTGGACTTGTTAAGTAACTGGTTTTTTTACCATAAATGTGTAAGACTAGCAACCAGAGTCCTGCCACATCAGACAACAGCTACATGACAAACCGTACCCCAAAAAAGCAGGAAATGTCCACTCACATATGGTAAACAAGGTTGCCATGTTCTCCTTGTTGGAATTGGAGTCTTCCATTTGCAGAGATGACGGTACAAAGGCAAGATTGTCTGCAGACACATCGACGTGGCTTGGCCCCATGGCTACTTCCTGGCTTATGGAAGACACTGCCACGGGCTCCAGGCTGAGGCCCACTTCATGCAAGGCTACTGAGTCCAGGGAAGCGAGGTTGTGTGAGGTAGGGAGCGCCACACTCACGGAGTTGGTGCTCATGGCCACAGTATGAATGGGGTCATTTAGTGTGCTGTCCGATATCCCTGTCACCCGCCCGGCAATGTGGTCGGGCTCCATGACAACAGGGAGTTCCAAAGTGCTACCGTGAATGGGAATGACACCGCCGTGTCCCACAGCGTCCGATGTCAAGTTACTCCCCACTGTGTCTACGGCTAAAGGTTCATGGCTCCGGGAGCCATTCGGGATCTGCGTGTGATCCCCGGCTACATCATCCATTGTAAGCTCCTCTGCCATCCCATCTGTAGAGATGGGGCTGGTTACCCTCGAAACGCTCTCCATGGTGATTGTAGTATCCAGTGCTACCTCGTGGCTGTCACTAGGATGCAGATTTTGAGGACCATGTGTGTTCACTGTACGGGAGTCCATGGAGACAATCCCCGGTTCCAGCCCCACGGTCCCACTGGGCTGGTAGGGATCCAGGGCTGAGGGATTGTTGGAGACTGACAATGCTGGATTGCTGTCAACATTTATAGTGTTGGGATGGATGTACTGAGGTGGTGGTCTGTCAGCCAAGTAAGATAAAATACCTGATAGGAAGAGAAGGAGACAAAGAAGGGAGTGAGATTACATCAGTTTTCAAATCTTGAAAAAAATCAGTTGAAGCATAGAACACTGAGACCCAGATCCCTGAAGACATGTTCACTACATTATTTCCAACTAAAATCCACTAATTCTAAAACATGGTTTAAAAACATATGGCAGCCTAACACTCTTGTCAAAGTACCACTTGACAGCTAATTCAGAGTTTCCACCCAATAGAGAAAGTCTCTAGTTACTTCTCAAATTCTGAACAGCTAAGTTAATGGCAGAATTTCACCTAGGCTGCTCAGTACAAAGATCAAATGAGAAAGAGGTTCTTCACTTTTTAGGCTTAATGCTTCATTCCCAAGAAACAGCTCACAAAGGATGAAGGACTGCTAGTGGAATCTATAATTTGGTAATTCCTGGTTCATCTTTGCTAGAAGCAGAAACAATTCTCCAGGACGCATATTTTTTGCTTAGGTATTCAAGTTTTAACAATGACTACTTCCTTCCTCTAAGACTAAGTGGCATAACTGTCCATCTCAGAGGCCATCAATTGCAATTTTGAAGAACAAAGACAAATTCTCTCACAGATTTAATGAGTCATCTGCTCTCTTTCCTTACATGAAAGAATGCTGTTTCTCCTAAAACAAAAGTTTGGTTGAATTTAAATCAGAAACCCTACCATCTTTTCTGGTAGTTCTGGGAAGCTTCTCAATATCAAACAACCTTGAAACTTAAGAAACACTAAATTGTGTTTACATACTAAAAACAAACAAAAAATAAGTCTTTGGAAGAAATGCAACAGCAAATTCAAGTAAACATTATTTCCAGCAGAGACAGAGGCAGATTTTGCAGATTCTGCAAGAACTGATTCAGCATGTTTCTTTTCAGCCTTCAACCCTATGAGCCACTTGTTCCATAAGAGTTTTCCATTCAAATACATTCGTTATTAGAAGGATGCAGGCACAGATACTTTCTTCAGCACAACAAGCCAAGAAATAAAGTTTAATTTAATCAGCTGCATCAAATATTTCTGCACGCAATGCTGCCTGGTGGCTTGAACACAGAGGATCCTTGATGGCAACAAGAAAACTGACAGAAGAGCCTTATAAAACATCACAGGAAGATTATTCCAGCTCAGAAGAATGGCAGAAACTTTTGGTCCTAGTGCACAGCCTCCTTGTCTACTCCTTGATCACTAAATAGGCAGGCATGCAATGCAGTAGGAAAGGTTACTCCTAAGCAGCTGGAAAGTTCAGCCATCAGTCAGCAGGCAGCTGCACGAGACCTGGGCTGCTACAGTTTATTCCTAACCCAGGCTGAACCAACAACACTCAGTGTTGTTTAACTATCCCCTTCCCTTAACTTCCACCCTGTCAATCTTAGCTACCAAACAAAACCAGGTCTGCATTTAAAGTTCCAATTTCTGTGTTTTCATTTACTAACATGTAAAATTCTACATTTATACTCCAAAGCACATGTGAGAAATTACTCAAGATAGAAGTGTGTTAGGCTTTGGAAATCAACCTTGAAGAAAAATGAAGAAGAAATGTGCCATGGGTTAAATAGGTGGGAAAGTGCCCAACACCACAGCTGATATCTTGCCGTCTTTGAGCTTTGAACTACTGTGACCCCCATTATGCACATATTAAATATTGCTTCAGACTACAGGAGAATTAAAATAGAAGCAACTTCCAAGCTACAAGCCATTGGAAACAGAAACCAGGCATGCTTTGTTTTCTGTTAATCCTAAAATCAAATCAGGAGGTGCAATCAAAGGTAAGGTTTAAATATAAAATGCCCTGCAATTCTTTTCATACACAAATATAGTAACAGATACCTGAAAAAAAGGGTGTGTAAATAACACAACAGTCTCCAGACAAACTCAGGGAAACAACAGCTCTGCTAAACTGTCAGTCATGCCTGCTTCAGGACAGAAACAGACGGCTCTTAAAACAGTTTCTCTTTCTGTTCCCATGCATCAGCACCAGAGCACTTACCAGGTAGAATGTGTCTGAAATAGCTGCTCTCCAGGTGAGGGTATGGTGGTGGAGGTAGGGTGTAGTTTCTCTCTGGTATACCACACATCACTCCTCGATCCCCAAGACCCATTGGGAGCATCAGAGACAGAGCAGAGGGCAAGGAACTCAAGGAGGGACCCAGGTTTGGAATTGCAACAGGCAAGCCTGCAAGAGAAAATGCCCATTTGAATTCAACGGAACTCCTTGAGTTTATGAATACATGAGCTAACAAAGAGATTTCTAATTCCCCAGGAGCTCTTGCCCTAAGGAAATACAGCATGGCACTGTCCAAGTAAGGTGCCAGGCATCAAAGAAAAGATCAGTTATCACAGCACTGAGAGGCATGCCTGAATATGGCTAGATCTTTTTTGGTACATTTTGTAGGGCTTGCTTCTATTTGACAATTGTAATGGACTTCTGTCTGTGCAGTCCCATGGAAATAAGAGCTATGGAAATCATTTTGCTCTACAAGTGATTTTTCACCTGAGAAAAAATTAGACATAGATGAACACAGATTTCCAGCTACAGCTCTAATTTCAAAGGATTCTGATACTACTCACCCACAGTGCAAAGCACCCCATTAAAACAAAACGAGGTTCCCACTAAAACATAAGCCTAACAAGCACTCATGCCTTTTGCTTTGCCCACATAAGCAATGATTTATGGCTTCCCCTTCCCCAACTCTGCATCATTTCACTACCTACGGTATGACTTGCTATCCGAGCAGGCACTGCCGCCCAGTTATGACCATTGCTGTGACAGCAGAACACAGAGCAGGAGCTGCAATGCCCCGTGTGGAACCCTCCCCCATTACCTGGTGCTGGTATGGCGTTGTGAGTGGGTGATGCTGCCAAGCCCAAGTGACTTCCTGAGACTGGCAGGGCATTGCTCACAGAGGAGGAGGTCAGCTGGTCCATCCCTACAGGACTCAAATTCATTTCATTCATTCTGAGACAGGGAACAGAGAGGGGAGCAGGAAAAAGAAACAGATGCAAAAGCATTCCTGATTACTGACTGTACTGTGGTAAGGAAAGGTTGAGCAAACAAGCTCAAAATCTGATATTGGCATATAAAAACTCTGCCTTAAAAAGCTACGCATAAAACACATCAGCAATTCACACAATCATCACATCATGATCAATACATATTGATCATATTAGATAGCAATAATCAGGATTAAAAACCACATCGTAAAGACAAATCAGACCACAGCTTCTTCCTTGCCATCCAGAAAACAGTCTTACTCCTAGTAGTAAAAGCCATTGCGATTAAACTATTGTGAACACAGATCCATTTACAAGCTGAATGTCAGAAATACTCAGACAACAGCACCTGATTTGTATTTCATTACTTCTAGACACCACATCCACATTCAAAATCCAAACTCTGGGGGAAAGATCACTTCAAACAAGCTCTAATTTCCCATTAGTTCGAACCAGGCCAATAGTGACAAGAGTTACCACTGCAAAACAGCCATAGCACGGTCTAACAGAGTGCCTCAGTCTGGTTCTACATGCTCCATCACATTAACAACCGGCACCGTGGCTGCCATGTTATTTCAGTGATCAACCATACTGCTCTCAGGAACCACCCAACACCCCAAACCCTCAGCCTTGGTAGAAACCATGTCAACTTGGAGCACATATCCTCTGGGGTCTCAAGCTGCACATGCAGCCCAAACCAGTCCACGGAGATGGGGACACCATGGAGACATGGTCCACTCACACTTGTCACAACTCTGCAAGTTGTGCTGTGCCCACCCCGGCCCTCCTACCCACACACCAGGTCGAACCAGCGGCTCTCAGGGCCAGCCAGACCAGCTGCCCCCCCAGCAGCCACACAAGCATCCTCCAGGCTGACCCAGGCCTCCCACATGGCCTTTGCCAGCAGCAGGCCCAAGCGCTGCAGTACTGATGGAGAGCTTGGGCTGCCACTCCGGTAAAGAAAGGTACCCACTCATCCAAGAAAAACGACGAATCCACCAAACTCACGCAAGTTAACAGCACAAGATCTCCGCCTGGAAGGGGCCCGTGAGGAACATCGAGTCCACTCGCAGCTCCTCGCAGACCACCTGCCACCCGGAGGGCTGAGCCAAACACGGAGCCGCCGACTTCCCCTCGGCTCTGCCCACCTTTGGCAGCACGCACTTTCCAGCACTCGCCTGCCGCCAGGGATGGCTCTGCAGGGACGGGGACGAGGGCTCCGGCTGCCCGGTGGGGCAGGGCATTTCCCCCCGGCCCAGGCGGCTGCTGAGATGGCGATGCCCGAGGGAGGGAACCACCACCCTCGCACCGGGGCCGCGCCTCGGGGCCTGCGGGAAGCGCCGGACGCTCGAGGGACCCTTCCCCTTCTCGTCCCCTCGGCCGGGTGCTCCCCGCGGTCCCGCCCGCCTCGCCCGGTGCCCCGCGGCGCTCACCTGGGGTGCATGGGGCCGGCCGGCGGAACGCCCGCAGCCGCATCAGGGCCCTGTGCCCCGGCCCGCCGCCTGCCCCCGGCTCCGGCTCCGGCCCCAGCCCCGGCCCCGGCCCCAGCCACGGCCCGGCCGCAACCCCCGCCGCCGCCGCCTCATGGGCGGGACCCGGGCGGCGCGGGCCCGGCGAGGGCGGGGAAGGCGGAGGGAGGCGGGGATGGCGGAGGGAGGGGGCCGGGGCCGCTTCCGCCGCCGAATGCCGGAGCCAGGAAACGGCGGCACCGCCCCGGGGCTCGGCTGCTCTCCGCCCGGCCCTGGCCCGAAACGCTGCCCGGGGCTTCCCGCATCGCCTCCTGCAGAAGGGTGCGGTGCTTACCCTGGTTTTCCACTCAGTATTCCCACACAATATTCCCAGCTGTCTCACTGCCTGCTCATTATACTCTAGTATCTGCTGTCATTAGAGGGTTGCGTTTTGTGTCCTCTGGTACCATCAGCCCGTACGTGAGCAGCTGCGTTCTGGACATCGTCGTTCAATTGTGGTTGATCATATGTACAGTTCTGGCTAAGGTGACATTGCAAAGGAATCTCTGGATGTGCGCAAGTGGTTCTGTAGTTCGCTTTCGCCTGCGACGCGTGGCCAGGACAGTCATCGTGTGCGCTGCTCCAGTGAATCGCCGCGTTCCCGCAGTGCCGGGGCGCGCTGCTGTTCCCTGAACGCTCTAACGGGGCGCGGTAATTTGCGTGTGCCCGACACTCAAGAGATGCCTCATTACATGAGCCGTCCCTCGGTAGGAGGTCTGCACAGGAGGAAATTCAAAGTGTTTTTCTGTCTGCTCTCTTTTGATCTAAAGAACCTGTATGTAGGATCTGTAAGGATCATTCCATGATCTAAAGAGCCTAAATGCAGAGGTCGTTTGAGTTCAGTACAAACCTATCTATTCTACTCTCGCTGTAGCTGAAGGAGGGAAATAGTTTACTGCAGAGAGTGCTTCATCCCATCCTGAGGCAGGTGTCCGAGATGTGTGAGAATTCCCTTTGGAGCTGCCGTTCTGTGTCTATGCCTGAAACTGGGACCTGCATAATGGGTTTAGTCTAAATATCTAACATCTAAAGGAGTACATTTAGGCAAAGTAGGTCCAGGTCTCTGTCATTTGTGACCCAAGGAATGACTTTATTTAGTTAACCACTAAATATCCCACAACCTCTCTTCCACCAAGCCAAATAATCCTTACCTTAACTATGGCTGACTGACTATCCGAATTGGCCCACAAACATCATTTCAGCAAGTCAAAACAGAGCTCACCAAGTCCTCAGGTTTTTATGGACTGCTAATCCTATGATGGGGGCTTTAGATGTGCTTCATTTCTGCATGTGTAATCCCACATATTGACATGCTGGTGCTAATACTTAATATCTTTCTTAGACCTTACGGTGAATGACTACAAGCCCAAAAGTCTCTCTCTTCACTTTGCATTCCCTAATAGGAGATGACAGGAGACCTTTCATTTTCAGATCTCATTCTTAAAACTTCACGGTCACACTCTGTTAATCTCAGTTCTGTCCTGAAATGCTAGGTTATCCCATGCCCTCAGCTTGTCTTAATTCCAATTGTGATACTGTAATTTACAGCAGAAGTGCCCTGGCACTGAAATCTTTGTGCTATTTCAACTATCTGAGCTGAAAGTAATGCTTCGAGCCTATGAGCCAGATTGGATGTAGTCAGATAACAGGTACATAGATAAGAGTATTTTTTCCTGCTGTCAAGCATGAGTCCTCTGAGATTCCAGCTTTTTCTGTAGTCACTCTACTCCCTTGAACTAGTGATATCTTAACTACCAGTTTAAAGCAGAAATATCAAAGGAAGCCAGTGATAATATGAGGTGTCACTGAAGGAGAAATTAATCTCTGTCTACAGAGATGTATGCGTATGCCCAAGGTATTGTGATAAAACACATTTGGGAACTGTTTCTTCTGCAAGGAAAGATACTTTTCTATATACCAAACACTTTTATTATATGTGAAGAGTTTTGATAAGACAACTGCACTATGTCTCCTGAAAGCCTGGTTTATTGACATTTATAGCAGTACTTGCTGCATGAGGAACAAATTGCTGAGCTATTTCTCAAGTCGTCTTCAGATCCTGGAGACATACAGAAAGATAAGGGAGACCCTGAAACCACACAGGAAAGAGATGCAGTAAAAATGCTTCAGTCCTTCCTTGCAGTGTGAGCCAAAGTCCCTTCTGGACCGTGCCCATGTCTCGGTACAATTAGTTCTCTTCTGCTATTGCAAACCTGCCCTTGGGTTCTTTCTCACACCAAGCAGAATAACACTGGAATGAAGAATATGCAAAAGGCCACTTCACCATCAAAAATCCAAATTTCTCATCACCTTTTATTGGCTTGTCAGCACTTTGCAGGTCAGTATTTTGATGAATATGAAGCCTAAGTAGTCTATGTGCAGCTTTCACTTTTAGGTGTAGGGTTGAAAATAGATGACCCACACTTAAGGATAAAATAGGACAAGACAGACACAAACCTACTCAATCCTGTATTCCTGCACCTCAGTCTCAAGCAAAGTTAGTACTATGATTCTGTGAGAACAGTTAACAGTTAACAGTTAAGAGAATCTGTTAATTGCATATTTTTTTACCTGCTAATAAATTGCAGCAGCCTAGACAACTTCCTATATGTATAATAAATACTAGAATTTGGCATAATTACAGCACCGTAATATATAAGAAATGCACAATATTATGAGAGTTTCAATATAAGAAATTGTTGTGAGAGTTTCATCTTAAATTCCCAGTGTATTTTCTTCTTCCTTCTTAGTAACATGTTCACAGATAAAACAGCTAGGACATCTTCTGTTGGGAAGTTAGTGAACTTGCATGTGTTCAGCTGACTCGTGTTTCTACTACAATATTTCCACCAATGACTTTCTTTTCCTACACAGAAGGACAGGGTCAAGTAGGAAATGTTTCTTTGAATAATTCAAAGTAATTCAAATAACTGTGTAATGTCGGTAGTGTTATTCATGGTTATGGTTCCTATGGGAGTGGAAATATTGAGGGTTGAGGGTTCTTTTGTACAAAAATTACATACTTATATATACTGTGGTGGGATATACGCAATTAAAACCACAACTAAGTTGTATCTGGAAGGAAGATGCCTAAATGTTTTCTTTTTAGATATGCAAGAGCATTTTCTATTAATTTTGGCTGGGTAATTAAGTGCTTATAGTGAAGTATAAGAAAAGGAAGAGAATCTGTTTGAATACCATAGATGGTGGAGTGTGTAAGGAATCTACTAGCACTCCACTTAGATTTTGTATTTACAAACAAAACAAAACAACAATGGAGCCAAAACCCAAAAACCTAAGCAAAAGCTAAACATGCAATATGTGTATAAAGACCACAGGCTCTGGCCTTGTAGAGCAGTCAACATCTGATCTGTACTGCCTGAAAAGCAAACCAGGCCTTCTGCTTTGTATCAGCATAGCAGATACTGCATTCTGGAGTCAAAGCTTCACCCAGACAAAGGTGTGAAGAGGACTGAATCGGAGAAACAATGTAAGAAAGGATCAAAGGCTTGTCTTAAAAGGGGAACATTATCCATGTAGTCTTAACCTACTGTTAAAATTAAAAAGAATGTGTATTAGCCTTTCCCTTTGGTGGTCCAGTGCTGCTACTTTCACTGTGTCTGCAAGTGCAGACATGTTGAGACTTTGTGCAGAAGTCACTACAGGAATGATAAATTGCTTTAATCCTGCTCATGCTCTCAACAAGGACCTGCAGTGGGATGTAAGATGTGTTGGCCTTGCTCTGGCTCTCTGCCCAGGGGCAAATCCCTTTCCGAGCAAGTGACATTAGATTGTCAACAAGATACCACTTGCCTGTGGCATATTTTCTCCTTTCTCTTGCACACAAACAAATTCAGACTTCAGAGTCCGTTTGATATAAGATCAGCTTCAATAATTCAGGTCAACAATTAATATTTATCTGCTATCATTCTTCACGTATTTCTCTAAAGGATTAGCAACGTGGATTTTTCTGTCAGAAGATGTCTTTAGCACAGGTGTAATTCTGACACTCTGGGAGGTGCTGGTGGCCTGCATTTACAGTAAATATAGAAAAGAGGTCTGGTAGCAGGGCACAGTGTATTTGCATTGACAGAACTGAAATGTAACCCTGCCTTTTGAACATGGCCAGGCTGCTGGCAAGGTCATGGAGAGCTGTGAAATGATCTGGCAGCTGAGCCCCCCAAGAGGCATGCTTCTATTTCCTTGCAGGAATTCTGCCAGAGAGCAGTGTTTTAAATCTTATAGTAACACTGATCAAATGGCCTTTGCCTGCTTCAGGTATTTGCTTAGAGGTCAACATCCTCTTTGTTTTAAGAAAACTTTAAAAAATCCTGGCCTAGCCTAGTGCTATAGTGAAGGAGCTGTTTTCCTTTCAGCGTTCATTTCTGAAAACATTTCTGGACAACGGAGTTTAGAGTGCAAGTAATAGTGACAAGTTTATCCTGATCAACTGTTTCCAAAGATTTTTTAAAAGGCAGAAAGAATCTCACTTATTTGATCTGAAATGAGCTGTACATACCATGGGGCATTCCCCAGTAATTTTTGCTCAGGCTTTTGAGACATTTTGGTGCTGATTCTGCCCCTGACATAAACCAGAGTGCAGGACTGTTCTCAGTCATGTCTGTCTGGAATGGTCTGCCTGTATGTTCATCGTACTTTGAAGCTTGCCACTGTTTTTTTGAAGCTGTAGAAATGGCCAGCAGAGACACAAAGGTTGACTCAAAAATGCATGCTACTCGCTACTCACATCATTGCTGCTAGTTTTTAACTCAGCAGAGGCATAGATGTGTTTCAGAGTGCAGAGTGTTGTTTCAGTTACTGACATTTCTGAGGCAGTTTCACATGAAACACTGAACAGGGTGGAAACTTTCACTTTGAGCAAAAGAACAATTTTAATAGAGGCTACATACCTGTACCTTTTCATGTCTGTCCCTTCCCACAGCTCTCCCAGACCAAACATTCAATTCCCCAAACTGATGATGGCCAAAAATGGAGATTCAGTTAACTGTGAAAATGTGTTTTCAATAAAAAGCTTTAACTATGGAGCTCTTGAACAATATGGGAAAAGTCAAAGACTGTCAAGTTGCTGCAGAGGAAGATCCTAACACAGCAGGGTATCTCAGAGGAAAGGCACAAACATTAGGACTTTATACTACCAAAACTTTTGTCTTTTTTGTTTGCTTTGGCAAGCTGCAGGCGAACTGGAGGGTGCAGCACAGACCTGGCAAGGTCAAGAGGAACTTTCAGCTCTCCCGTTAAAGCAGTGTGTGTTGTCCATCAGGTCAGCCAATATCCGTGTAAACATTGGTAATAGCTACACGTGGGGCTATCAGGGCATCACCTTAGTGTTTGTTTATCTGAGGCAAGTTCTCATAGGGATCACCAGAACATTCCTACAATGAGAAGAAACACACAAAACACTGAAAACTGTTTGAAAATGCCAAAACACTCATGTTCAATTTGTGAAACTCACACTTCTTGATAAAACCTCTCTAAGGGCGAAGAAGGCAGTTCTCCTCTTTTGCTTGCACGTAGTACATTCTTGATCTGACAAGACTTGCAACCACAAGAGAGCACTCTTTCCTTTGAAGATGTCTCATCTTCCCCAGAAAGCTACAGATATGCCATATAAGTTTTGCAAACTGCTTGTGAGCTGGTTCAGTTAGACCAGAGCAGCCGAAACAACAAAGCTTGCAGTTGTCTTTTGGATTTCATTGTGAAAAGCCTTTGGGTAGTTTTTAGATGACAGAAGATCCTTGGTTCCTGAAAGTGAGGAGTTCTGCCAAAACTTTGAAGATCCCTGTAAACTTTGCAAATTACCCATCTTTTGGAGACAATTATATCAAACGATATCATGGATTACAATACATGAGAAGTGTTTAGAGCCTGGAAGATTATTTATGTTTGGCATTAACTCTTATGGTCATAATTTCAAGTGGAGAGAAAAAGAATACACAGGAACCCTCTTATTATCTTTTGAAATATGAAGATCACAGGAAAAGAAGGGTTTAAATCGTGGAGTGATGGTCCTCAAAACCTGTCTGTACATTAACTGGCGTCCTACACCTATAAAAGCAGCAAGGCTTTCCAGGCACAGTGTGGACCTCATGAGTTGTTAGCCTTGCTTTGAGATCTGAGTTTTTATACACCACTGGAGGAAACTGCAGCCTGTGGGGCAGGGTACTTATACAAATGTTGGATTAATACACTGGAAGCCAAATTCAGGAACTAACGCCCCACTGGTGAGGAAAAAAAAGAAGCATGGGCAGCACTAAAGACGATGATAAACTATTGAAGAGGATTGCATTTCCAGGAGCCATGTCCCTGGCTAGCAGCCACATGCACCCCCACGGGGTACCCCTGAGAGAGCCCTTCGGGGTTCCCTTCCACCTGGACCCATCTTACTGGGAGCAAGCCTATAGTGGGCACACAGGTCGCATCTCCTACATCCCATTTCCCGGCTACATGGGCATCTATGACTATTCCTTGGAGCCTGCCTTCATTCGGAAGAGGAACGAGAGGGAGAGGCAGCGGGTGCGCTGCGTGAACGAGGGCTACACGCGCCTGCGGGAGCACCTGCCCAAGGAATTCGCCGACAAGCGCCTCAGCAAAGTGGAGACCCTGAGAGCTGCCATAAGCTACATCAAACACCTGCAGAGCTTGCTGGACTGCCCTCCCTTAGGCTCTGGCGGTAAGGAAGCGCTGTCAGCCACGGAGCGGCCCGGAGCTGCCAGCCCGGCTCCCCCGCGGGAGTGCGACAGCGATGGAGAGTCCAGGACTTCTGCGGCGTCATCGCCCTACAGCGAATTTGAGGAGACGGGCAGCTAGGTCTGCTCTCTGGACACGGAAAGCTTCAAGTTCGGCTGAAAAACTGTTTCAAACCCTGGGGAATTTTCTGCAGATGAAAATTAATATCGGGGAAAGGAAAAACATGTAGGGAAGGCAAAAAAAAAAAAAAAAAGAAAAAGGTATTTTCAATCTGTCAAAGGACTTTAAATGTTTGCTGTATGAAACTTAAACGTGATTTGTAAACAAACAGATGTCTCTCACATTGCTTCAGCTGTGTTACTAAACTTCCTTTGGACTGTTAAACTGGAGCAACATTTGCATGCAACTTTTCATTCGACATTTATTCTGTTCTATTTTCTTTTGCTTTTCATTTGAGACAGTAAAACCAGATAAATCCATTTCAGGAAATTCCCCTCTCCTTTCTCCTCCTTTGTCCAGTGAGTTTTACTGTCTGTTTTTCCTGACTGCTAACCTGAGATGCACTGCCCTGGAAACACTTGGACTGGGGAAGGTAAGATTTAGATAAAATATCTTTCCCTAAATATTTCAGAAAACTCACAGAAATACTTCTATTTATGAAACAACGAATTTTCAAATAAAAACAAGGCTATATTTGGAAATTAATTTCGTTTAAAGCATCTTCTGAAGTAAAAGAAACAGCTCAAACTCTGGACACTGTCTATTTGGTGATTATTCTAAGGATAATTTTCAGGAAAATATAGCTGGACACTCATTCCAGTCCGTGCTAGGAAGAGGGAAACAGAGTTCTGTAAAACTGCACCTTCAAAAGCAAAGCTTCACTCAAGAACCTGAAAAAATGAAAGCCTTTTTCCTACTTTTCTGAAATCTGAGTTCATGGACAAGATAGTCTTGATTGTGTCTTTGGCAGGTCAGAAATGATAAGCTTAGAAATATAACCTGTAATGGTTAGACACTGGTGTGTACAAAAAAGGGAAAAGTTGAATATATTGGTTTACATCTGCATGAAAATGTAGGTATTGCTCCTTTTGTTTAGAATATGGTATTACTTTTTCAAAGGACACAGCTTTTAAAATTAATACATCAAAATCTATGGAATACCTTTAATTTGGATTGCATCTACTTAAAATGATAATTTCTCTCCTATTTGTTTTAAAATCTGCCTTTCTCCAAGGCTTAAATCCCATTCTGAATATGTGGCAAACTTTTTACCCATCCACTTTCCACAAACCTTTCAAACTTTTGCTTTTTTGGCCTTGTGTTGATGAAATTGCTTTGTATCTTTTTTTTCTTTCCTTCATGTCATGTTGACTGAACACCTGAAAAAATACTCATGTATATATAAAAATACTGATCAAATACCTCAAAATGTGTCCATAAATTTCCTTTAAATAAAA